GGACGCCGCGGGTCGGCGTCGGCGGGGGTGCCGTTGGCCTGTGCAGCCGCCCGGCGACACCTTGCCGTGCTGCTGAGTGCAGCTGGCGGCCTGAGGTTTACGTTAGGCTTACATTTCAGCGGATAGTCACGTGCGGTTACCTATCGGACGGCGCTGGTGTAGAGCGGTCCGTCCTCGCAGAAGCGCCAGAGGGGCTGTTCTGGAGGGAGGAGGTTGCGGTGCGGAGCAAGCGAGACCCCTGTGGGGGGTGGGGAGCTCTCAGAGCCTCCCTGTCCCGCTCAGGCCTCTGACCGTGTCCTCCTGGCCCCTCATTCCTAGGAGACACACAGACGCGCTCGCAGGACGGTAACGATAGCGGTGAGTGATGGGGTCGGAGAAACGCGAACCTGGTGTGTGCTCTTTGGGGGAAGGAGGAAGGAATGGGCTTTGGTATTGGTCCTGTTCCAGCTCTGCCAGTGCCCTGGGGACAGAGGCCTTCAGCACTCAGACCCCGGTTTTGTAAAGGGGGGATAGTAATTCCCATGTCACAGGACTATTTTGCGTGACAGAGATTTACATGTGTGTACATGACAAGCATGCGGGTGGTGTGCGGCAGGTGCTCAATAAATGCGTGCTGCCGATAATCCGCTTCCATCTCCTCTGCTCCCCCAGGCCTGTTGGCAGAGCATGTTTATATCCTCATTGGGGTCTCTGTGGCCTTTCTCCTCCTCCTCCTGGTCCTCCTTCTTCTCTACCGTCAGCATCAGAGAAAACAGGGTAGGTCTCAGGGACAGGGTGGGGCGGCCTGGGCAGGCCATTTGGGGTGCAGGGAAGAAGCCTTCTCAATTCACATCCCAACTGTCCTCAGGGGCCCCCAGCAGCAAAGGCGAGGAGCTGAGGCCCCAGGAGAGGTGAGGCCCTGGGAACAACCCTCAGGCCCCCAGTCCTCTGCCTCTAGGCAGCCCCCAGGCTCACTTGTTCTCTCTCCTCAGGCTCAGCCCCACTGCTGACATCCTAGATGGGACACTAGGTAAAGACAAGTATGGGGGACAGGGCTGGGAGGAGGAAGCGGGGTTCAGTGTCATCCAGGAAGCAATGTGTGTGTGAGAACATTTGGGAACATTCTAGGATGTTCCATGACAGGGGGCGGGACAAAATATGAAGCGATGAGGTTTCAGGCAAATTTGCCTCCTGAGGTCCACCCCAGAGACCTGACCCCTTGTCCTCTCCCCTCCAGATCTGGCCACTGTTGATGGACTTCCTGAGAAGGACGGAGAGATGGGTGCTTCGGTAAGTCCTTGTATTAGTCACCTGCTGCTGTGTCCCAAAGTACCTGAAATTTAGCAGCTTAACAAAATCATCTCAGTTTCCTGGGCCAGGAGTTTGGAAGTGGATTAGGTGAGTGGCTCCAGCTCATGGTCTGTCATAAATTCACTGTCCAGATGCCAACCAGGGCTGCATTCACCCGAAGGCTTGACTGGGGCTGGAAGGTCCACTTCCAAGATGGCTCAGTCCCCTGGCTATGGGCAGGAGCCCCAGTTCCTCACCACAGGGGCTTCTCCATGGCAGCCAACCTCCCCCAGACGGAGGGACTCCAGAGAGGGAAGGGCAGAAGCCACAATGTCTTCTGTGGCCTCACTGTGGACATGACTTGCCCTCCCTCTGTCACATTCTATTGGTCACACAGAACAACCTTCCTTCTCTGTGGGAGGGGACTATACAGTGGTGATCCTGGAGGTGGGATCTTAGTGGAGGGGCTCCTGGAGGCTGGCTACCACAGTCTTCCCCTCCCTCACCTAGCCACCCAAACTCACCATGCATCTCTCTCCCTCAGACCCCTGCTGCGGGAGGCCCCCAGGAGGTGATGTATGCCCAGCTGGACCACCGGATCCTCACAGAGAGGGCGGCTGGAGCTGTGTCCCTGCAGTCCACAGAGCCCACAGCTGAGTCCAGCACGTATGCAGCCATTGCTAGACACTGACCCCAGGCCCACTTGGCCTCTGCACTAAAGACACAGGAAGTCACTCTTGCAAAAGCCTGAAATGGACATTTGGTGGGTTTCCCTGTGGAATCATCCCTTTCTGGAAGGTCGTCCAATTAGTTCTCTTGGAGGCAAGAGCTGGAGTCCTGAGAACCCCCCAGTCAACATCTAGGAGATTCATTAGCCATGTGGTCCGTCCTACAATCAACTAGATCCTTGGAGAGGATGTGTAGCACTTGTTTCCAGAGACCCAGGTTTGGTGCTTGGCTCTTTCCAGGGACCCAGGTTTGGTGCTACAGTCACCCAGCTGATTCCAGACATGTCTTGCGAATCCTCCGCTGCCCCCAGAGATCCGTTTTGTCCTCTTCGCTGACTCTACAAACCCTCCTAGAGTTCAGCTGTTGACCTTGAACCTGGGCTATCCTTGTGCAGCTGGTAGCTGAGACCTCGTTTTCTGTATCAAGCTTCACACTGTTCATCAATAAATGTCCTCACAGGCCCGGCTGCCTCAGCCCTGCAGCTGGAGCTGGGGTGCACCGGCACTGGGTCCCAGTCTCTGCCTCCACAGTGGCTCCAGACTTAGTGAGGGGATCGAGATGGACTACAATGGCATCAGTGTTTTCTGATCTGACTGTGTATCTCAGCGCCGAGAGAGGGAGACATATCTGCACACACCCCTCACGCCACACCGTGCACACACCTGTGAATGCACAACGCACACACCCACACACACGGACACGTGTGGACGGACCAAGGGAGCGGTGAAGCCACGACTACACAGGGAGGGTCCCTAGGGCCCTAGGTCCACTCAGAGGGACGCGCAGTCCCCCACTTCCCACTCCCACTCCAGTCCATGCCCACTGGATGCCAGCATTCTCCCCACACAAGAGGACCCATGAGCTGTAAAACACTGACCTCCATCTCGCCTTCAGCCCCCCACCCCCGGCTAATGCCCTTCAGGTTTGGGGTTGGAAGCTCTTTTTGCAATTGCTGCTGAAACAAATCACCACTCACTTAGTGGCGCCAAACAACACAACTTATCATACAGCTCAGGATGTCAGAGATCTGAAATCCGTTAGAGTGGGCTGAAATCAGGGGCCAGCAGGACTGCGTTCCTCCTGGGGCTCCAGGGGAGAAGCCATCTCACTATCTTGCCGGCGTCTGGGGGCCATGTGCGCTCCTTGTCCGTGGCCCCTTCCTGTCTTCAAGGAGCGCTGTGGCGTCTTCAGATCCTCCCTCCAACTAGGACGCCTGTGGTCACCCCTTCTTCCGTCTCTCTGACCTTCCTACCCCCATCTTATAAGGACCCTTGTGGTGCCACTGGGTCCACTGGGAATAGCCAGGCTCCTCTCCCTCTCGCAAGGCCCTTAACTCAGTCACGCCTGCAAAGACCCCGTCTCCACCTAAGGTGACGCACCAGCTGGTTCCAGGGACTAGGACGTGGACACCTTTGGGGGTGTTATTCTGCCTACCTGAGGGGTGTCGGTGCTCAGCACCACTTCTGTTCATGGATTCCTCTGGCCTTGAATGCTACATGCTGAGTTCCAAGTATCTCCTTGCAGGAACGTCTCCTTGTCCCACCAGTTTGTGAGATGATGAATGAGAGTCTGACTAATGTCTGCGTGCCTAGAGCCTCTGCATAAGGGGAGGCTGGGAAGGAAGCAGTGGAGCCTGGGAATGGCACCCCCACCGCTGTGAGCCCCAGGTGCCCAAAGTGGCAGGTGGCGCCCGTGCGACAGGACGGTGACTGCTCACCAGCCCCGTGTCCTCCCTTTCTGGGCTCCCAGCGAGACGAGGTGCTATCTCCAGCCTCCCTCGCAGTTAGGTGTGTCTGGGGACGAAGTTTAGCCGGTGGCGTGTGAGCAGGATGCATGGAGCATCCGGACTTCCCACACAAGACGCTCCCTGCTCTTCCCTTCTGCTGGTGGCTACGGATGCCCCGGGCGACCTTGGAACCGCACGCTGGGTGTGGCGCCTGGTCCCAGGATGACTTCGTGGAGTAGAGCCTGCCGTACCCCTTGTGTTAGCCATGTTTCAGGCTTCTGTTAGGGGGATGCTGCAGCACGTGTCCCACATGCCTATGCTGGTGTGAACAGTAACAAAGGGAAACTTCATTTAAAACAGAGCTAGGAAGCCCGGGAGCTCTCACAGACCGACGGTCTGTCGGTAGGTCTACCAAGCAGCTTGCTTACTTCCCAGGTCGCTGTCTTATTTCCTCGTGTCAGTTCACACAGATTTAGGTCCGTCCACAGTTGCGC